AAAACTGTACCCTCGGGTCACGCGGCCGCCGGGGCGCGGGAGCCGGGAGGGAGGAAGGAGGGGGCGACGCCGCCTGCCGGGAGACGTAGTTTCCGCCGCCCGCGGGAAGGCGCGCTGGGCGCGCGTTTGAGAAGCGGCGGAGGCGGCCCGCGGGAGCGAGGTGGCCAGGCAGAAACTACTTGGCGAGTCCGGTCACAGGACCTGATACGTAGACACCGAGGCCACCTCGTGGGCGGGCCGACGGCGACGGCGGCGTCCGCGCGTCCTCTGGGCGCCTGCCCTGGACGCCTCCCCGCGCCGTCCTCGCCGTCGGCCCTTCCAGCTGGAGGCGCGGGTCAGCGCTGCGGCCGCCCGCGCCCTGTGCTGCGCTTTCACGGCTGCGGAAAAGGGAATTAAAATTCCGAGCTCTGGGCGAATACTTGGCGTAGTGTTCTCATGTAATATTTGCAGGAAAAGTCGAGGTGGGGAGAACCAGAGTTACTCTCAGGGGCAAGAATCATCTCTGTCTGGAGAAGTGTGCGCCCGCTGAAGGGTGAGACTTCACGCACAGAAAACCAGGCAATGAAAAATCGATATAGTACGTTCGTGACTCAAGAAAACCATTGCGGGCCGGGGATGTAGCTCAGCGGCACAAGCGCCTGCCTGGCAAGCACAAGGTCCTGAGTTCGATTGCCGGTACCAAAAAACAAAACAAAACCCATTGCTCTTGATAGAAGTGGCGGAGAGAAAAACAGGAGGGAGAGAGGGAGAGAGATCAGTCAGCAAAAAAGAGTAGATCTAGGTAAGAGCAATGGAAATTCTCCCGTGGAGGAGGAGAGGAAGGACATTCTAAAACTGGTGCCGGGTATGGTGGCGCAGGCCTGGAATCCGGGCACTCGGGAAGCCGAGGCAGAAGAATCACTGCGAGTTTGAGGTCAGCCTGGGCTACATAGTGAGTTCAAGACCAGCCTGAACTACACAGTGATTATATCTACTCAGGACTGAATGCAGGGCCTTCCCACTGAACAGCATCCCCAGCCCTTTTTTACGTTTTAAGACAGGATCTCAAGTTACTAAATGGTGCAGGCTGGGTCCACGATTGCAATCCTCCTGCCTCAGCCTACGAAGTAAAGTAGGTGGGATTACAGGGAAGTGCCATGGTGTCTGGCCTGATGCTGAACTGAAAGACTTTTAGGCTGCTGTGATGCAGATCAAGCCTTCCTCTTTTTTTTTTTTTTTTTTTTCAATCTTTTTGCGACAGGGTCCCGCTGTGCAGTTCAGGCTGGCCTTGAGCTCACTTTGTAGCCCAGGCTGGTCTCAAACTCACAAC